CAAAAAGCTTCACAGCCAGTGTCTGTCTGCGACTACGATCTCACCTACAGGAAGCCATGACCATGTGTCACAGCAGGGAAAATGGCCACGGGTCATGTTCATCACCTGATGCGGAGTTTGCAAACGGAAGCAAAATTTTGTGAATGGTGCTGTTCGTGAACCGAATTGTTCGTGAACAGAAGCGTTCATGAACCAAGGTATTACTGTACCTGTCTCTCAGCTTAGTTTCATGGGAATACAGGTAGTCCTTGCTTAACAATCACAGTTGAGACCAGTGATGTCATTAAGCAAGACATCATGTGACCACAACAAATTTATAATCTCAGCTATGGCCATTAAGCAAATCACCCACAGCTGTTAAGCGAGACCACATGACTGCAACTTGCAGTTTTACTGCCAGCTTCTCCATTGATTCTGCTTGTCAGAAGCCAGCTGTGAAGCATGCAGATGGCAATCATGTGACTGTGGAACACTAAAACGGTCATAAATGTGAGGATCAGCCATAAAGTTAGTTTTTAAGGGCCTTCGTAACTTCAGTTACTAAACAGGGCAGTGGTTAAGCAGGACTACCTGTAGTAACTTACCTAAAATGCCACTTAAGCAAGAACTATGTCAGCTGTTTATTTGTGGGTATACAATATTTCAGTGGTACAGATCATCCTGTAAACAGGTCATCCTACCAGAGTCCTTTCTGCTATCCCTGACTCTTCAGTGGGATACTGAAGTCTCCAATTTGAATTTGAGTGAGGTGACTACATGGACATGTTCATGTAGTTGCTTAGCAACAGTAGGGATGTACTTTGCCACTGCCCTCTGTTTTTTGTTTGTTTTCCAATCTAGCCTATAGCTGTATAGTTTCCTGGTGGTCTTCCATCAAAGTATTAACCAGGTCTAATTCTTCTTAATTTTTCAAAGCAGCCACTATAGTTCCAGGCCCGATAGCTTTTGTTTAGGCTAGAAACTGAGTTATAATAAGTAGGAAGTTTTCTAGCTATTATTTTATACCTGTGGTGTGGGGTATAATTGTCAAGAAGCTTGAAGCTTACGCTAAATCTAGTTCAGAATTTCATGAACTGAAAATGAAAGAGTATGTGGAGAAAAAGAATTTGTACAAGAGCATTTAAAAGCCTAGGGAAATCTCTCTGCGTATGGCAGAAGAAATACAAACATATTCCTGTAAATGGTGATTTCAAGTACATACACTTCAACTATGCGTATAGACTTTTTTTTTATGTCAAATGTGCCTCTGCATAAACACAAGCTGAAATGCCTGAATTACATTGTGGATTTTACTGTGTGTACAATGACCATACATGACCGCTGTGTGCAAATATATGTTGCATGTGAGTTGTCATTACAGGAAGCATTCCCAATGAAAAAGGGACAAAAGACTTAAGTACAATTAAAGTTCTGAAATCAAAGCCATACAAAATAACAGGTTCCAAAATTAAGCTAACTTCAACTCATTTCTAGCACAGTATGTGCGCAATTTGTTTATTATCTGCATCCTGAACAATCTCATGTAGTTAAAGCTATCCTTACTGGCCAAAACATCCTGCCCAATTCAAAGTCCTGCTGTTGACCTTTAGAGTCCTAACTTTCCTGGATATCAGGTTATTGGAAGGCTCACTGTTTCCACATTTCTCTGCTTGGCTACTGAAATCATCTGAAATCTCTGAGTTCATCTGTCAAATTAAGTTACATAAATGGCTACTAGATAAGAGCTTTTCAGGGGTATCACTGTAGTTGGGGGGGGGGGGGGGTTT